TTCAGATATAAACACTGACTAAAGAAGCAGGTCAGATAATAATTTAATCGGCTCTGATTAAACAACAACTTCTGATTTGATGCGCAAAATGTAGCATCCATGCTAGCTCTGTAAACAAACCAGCCAGCTGATGAGACGTCACGTCTCTTACTGCGCATGCGTGTCACATCAGTGCTGTGTAGCGTTCACACAGGGGTCTGATGCAGGTCACATTTAAAATGTAATGTGAATGTTCACACAAAAAAATCAGATTTTTTCAAAAAATCGGAACTGAGCATTAAGACCTGCAGTGTGAACGTAGCCTTTGTTAAAAAATCAGAGTAAAACTGATCAGAACTTTAGAATCATGTGGGCGGGGTTTGGGGGCGGAGTTATTTTAGTGACAAACATCTGGACTGAACACGTTTCTCAGATTTAAATAGTTATTTTCAATGTTCCTCTCTCAGTCTTCTGAATATTTTCTGTTTCTTCTCGTTTTTCAGGTGTCTCCAAGGCCATCTTAGATGGAGCCGGACAGTCGGTTCTGAATGAGTGCTCACAGATCGGTGTGTCTCTCTTCACCTGTCACAAATAAAAAACAACAAAACAAAGAAGTCATTAAGTGACTTTATCATTTGAAAACTAAAAAGTCATGCAGAATCTGAAGTTAATGTTGTCTGCTGCTGCAGTTCATTAATAATCCACCTTAAACCCCAGATCAGCTGATGATCCAGGGTCCTACAAAACATTTATTCATTGCAGAAAGACAGACATTAGATTACTTTAACGTTTCCAGTTAGGGGTTAAGTTTAGGTTGGAGTTAGGGCTGGTTAGGGGTGCCCTTCAGGAAGTGCACCATTGTGACCATTTGTTTCATGCCTGTTTGACAAAAGTGGCCTCAAACGAAATGTTGTCCCTTTAACATGCATTTAAAGAGTCTAACTGGGCCACATATTGTCTTCTTAGCAAACACTGACCGCACTCTACCTCTTTTTGGTTAGCTTGCAGTACAGCAATCTTCCACTAGGTGGTGGTGGCGCTCCATGATGGAATATGGGCTAATTGGCATGGAATTGAAGATAACCCTAAATATTTATATGGGTACATTAGCATGGAATTTGTCCCAAGACCACCGGACTACAATGGAGTGCAGGCTACAGTGACTGGGTCACCAGGACCACCGAACTACAATGGAGTGCATAGTACAGTGACCAGGTCACCAGGACTACCAAACTACAATGGAGTGTGTGCTACAGTGACTGGGTCACCAGGACTACCAAACTACAATGGAGTGTGTGCTACAGTGACTGGGTCACCAGGACTACCAAACTACAATGGAGTGTGTGCTACAGTGAATGGGTCACTAGGACCACCAAACTAAAATGGAGTCCATGCTACAGTGACTGGGTCACCAGGACCACCGAACTACAATGGAGTGCATGGTACAGTGACCAGGTCACCAGGACCAAGAAAGTTCAGTGGAAAGTGTGGCTTTTTACCTTGAATGGTGACCAGGACCATGAACACCCTGAATGGGTTATCAGGGCCACGGACACTTAAAATCTGTGGGGTTACTTTGTGTAGTCTGTGGGGTGGGGCTTATGCGAGAGTGCACAGGTTTGAGAGGTGTGCAAGGTGCCGTAATATCACACCCTCCATAGTGAACTGTCCTTGGAGGTCTTGAAGAGCCCCTCCCTCCCCCCTTGGTCCAGTCTTACCTGGGTATGGGTGTCTGCCCCTTGGCATGGTTATTTAAGGTTCCCCCCTCTCTTTGGTGGTCTGTGAAATTAGCATGTACTCCATAGTGTGCACTGTTCCGGTGGTCAGGGGATCCCTCTGGTCCAGTCTTACCTGGACAAAGGTGCCCATCCCCTGGCATGGGGGTCTCTGGCGTGCCCCCTGGAAGTCATGGGGTTGCACAGTCTGGTCTGGTCTTACCCAAGGATGGCTGTCTGTCTCTGGGCATGGGTTCTTGGGTCCCCCCCACCCCTCCGCTGGAGGTCTGTCACATTGGCTTGCACCTCATAGTAAAGTAGCGTGCACTCCATACTGAACTGTTCCTAGAGGTCGTGGGGTCCCTGGGCTTGTAGTTTTTGTTTTCCCCTGGTGGTCCTGGGTATTTGTGTGAATCTAAACCCTATTTGAATGTGTGCCTTTTTTCCCTGACTAGGACTTTGTTGCTTTGACGGATCAAAATGGCACACCTCACAATGGGCCGCATATGTTAATTTGACAATTAAAAGTCATGCTAATAATATTTCTCAACACTATACGGGTAAATTAGCATGGCTGCCTTTAGCGTGAAATGTGTACCATTCGACCCGTGCGCCACCTGGTGGCCGAACATGGTTTAGCAGAAAATCCCTGGCTGAGTTGCTGTGCTCCGTCCACAGACCTGCAGCATTTATGGTTTGATGAGAAAAAAAAAGTCAACATTTGAAAATTATCAGGGTTAGGGTTTAAGTTAGGGTTAGATCATAAATAAACTGATAACACCTTATGTATAAATTCCATTCACATCATGTGTGTGTCCTCTGCAGTGAAGTCTCCAGGTTACCAGCCTCGGGCCATGATCCTGACCTCAGGCGGGCTGCTTCCCTGCAGAAACATCGTCCACATCGTGGGTCAGAACGATCCTGTCAAGATTAAAGACATCGTTTATGGAGCGCTGAAGATCTGTGAGGAGAACCGCTTCAGATCTGTGGCCTTCCCCGCGCTGGGAACAGGTCTGTTCTGACAAAAAAATATTTTTTTATTTAAAAAACCTCTGAAGGAGATGAAATAACTGTTTGCTTTTTAACCTTTTGTTTTTTTTTTCATGTCATCCAGCTTTTAGATTGCTTTTGTTATATTTAGTCACCTTCACTGCTTTAAAATATAAGAAAAGTCCAAAAAACAGAAGAACACAACACAGAATAATCAGTCTGACTTGTCACCAAAAGAAAGTTCTGTTAGGACAGACCCTTCATCCTCGTTGTGTTGATGCTCATGTCTTTCAGGTCAGGGGGGGGTGAACCCAGCAGCTGTGGCTGACTCCATGGTGGAGGCGGTGGTGGAGTTTGTGAGGAAGAAACATGCAAAGCTTGTTCGAAGCGTGAAGATCCTGATCTTTCAGACGGCCATGCTGAACGAGTTCCACAGCAGCATGAAGAGGAGACAAGGAGAGGAGGTGGAGGAGAAAAGCATGTTTGGAAAGTTCAAAGGTATCTGAAGAGTTCTGCAAACTTCATGAAGCTGAAAACAAACAAAACCAGCAAAGTTTATTCAACTATTTCTGGACAAATTTCATAACTAATGAAATATTTTGGTTCTTAGATCTGTTAAAAAAAATCCAAAATATCTGAAGCTCACAAACCAGCTCTGTCAGTAAAATATCAGTGTCCAATCTGTCTGTCAGATTCACAGCCTTATCTCTGTCTTTATAAATTAGATTTATTTATTGCTTTCAGACTCACTCACTTCATTGTTTGGACGTGGATCGGAGCCAAACAGAAATCTGGTTCTGGAGAAGGAGGAGTTTGAGGCTGCCGTGTTCCAGCTGTGTTCTGACAACCAGCAGGTTTGTTCTTTTAATCTTTTTAAAGGGGACCTATTATGCAAAATTCACTTTTTAAAGTTTTTTTACTCAACTTTGGGTATGTACTTCTTAAAAAAACAGTCCTAGGACCAAAAAAAATGCACCCAGGGGTATATTTACTGTAAGTAAATGTATTCTTAATGTATATTAACGACAAGTTTTATACTTCCGTCATTTTGTGATGTCACAAGCCGTACGACAACCCACCAGAACCTGTGTTCAGCCCCTTACCTAGCAACCCCCGGGTGAGACTCCTCCTCCTCAGTATAAATAGCCGTCACCGTGTTGTTGTGTAATGTGTAGCTCATTTCACAACAAGCCTCCAATAGGGCAATGGGTAGAGTGTTGGACCAGAGACCGGCAAAGACACAATTTAATTATTTATTTTTGTTCATTATGAACACATTTTCTCATGTAGCTCTATTGTTTATCTTATTAAAGCCTTGTTAAAGCCTATTTGTTCTAGTTTCTGAGGTATTTTGACCGCTGCTGCTCCCTGCTCTGGTAACAGCATGCAGAGTGAGCGCAGAGCAGAGGAGGGAGAGGAAAAAAAAGAAGCTGGGACCACGACTCTGCCTCTGGGTCTCATATGGTTGTACAACGGAGCTTCTGCTATTATTAGCCATGCTAACGTAAACGCTGGCTTTGGAGGGCGGAGTTAATGTCAACAGATTTTTGGAGGGCGTTACCAACAGAGCTCATTAACATAAACAGCTCTTCTGAACAGAAGTCAGAGCAGCAGAACTAGAAAATGGGAAATTTTATTATCTGAGAATTATTTTGTGCATTAAATTGAATGAACATGGTCTGGATAGCCCACAGACATACCAGAAACATTTCTACGACCCATAATTGGTCTCCTTTAAGATATTTTCTGCTCCGAGCTGTGGTGTGTAAGAAGAACATGAAGAACATGTTCACCTTCGTCAGGAACAGAACCATGACCTCATGTTGGATCCTGTTCTTCCTGCAGAAACCAGCCCAGCTGTCTAAAATCTAAAGTTTAATTTGAAATAAAGTTTTATAACCTGCAACAAACCCGGTGATTTCTGTCCCTGCAGGCTGTGAGTTCAGCCAAGAAGAAGATCAATGATCTGATCCTAGCAGAACATGCCACCAGTACCATCAGTGATCAGTACATAAACCAGCTGACCCTGGCTGACGTGGACCAGCTCAGGGCCCTGCAGAGGGAGCTGACCGTCAGCATCCGCCTGGACCGGGGACAGGAAGACCAGGAGCCCAGGATCCACCTGGAGGGTCTGACCCGGGACGTGTTCAGGGCCGAGTCCACAGTCAGGTCTGGAACCATCAGGCTCCAGATCCTAACGTTTGATAAACAGGAACGTGTGTTTGTAGAACTAGATTTATAATTTTATGTTTGGTGGCTGCAGGGACATCATCAGGAAGGTGGAGAGGACGGAGAACTTCAGGAGGAGAGCTGTCCTCGTGAGCGAACATGTGGAGTGGCAGTACCAGCACCAGAACGGGTCCATGGTTCCGTTTGACATCAGCACCAACCTCCACCTGGAAGAAGCTTTGGAGAAACAACAAACCGTGACGATTGAAATCAACAAGAACAGGTACAGCGCTGACCCAAAGCTGAGAAGTGCTGTGTCAACGAGCAGCAGAAAGAAGGTGGAGCTACTGAGGAAAGACCTGAAAGGTGAGAAGATTTACACCTGGTCCGGTCCGCTTTCATTTTAACTTAAACAGTTTGAATCATTTCTCGTCTTGTTGCCTCAGATACTCTGCCTCCACACTGGGACCACATGAAGAACGACCTCGTGAAGCTGATTCCTCTGACTTCATCATCCCAAGAATACAAGAACGTGTTGGCAGAGCTGACAAATCACGGACTTTCTCTGAACATCATCCAGGTGGGCTTCGTTTAGACACGTCAGGACCCTCATGCATAAAGGACTGCACAGCTTTCCCATTAAACGTTGGCGTACGAACAAATGTAGAAAAGTGCGCCACACAAAAAAACTCAGATGTGTCCACAGTGTTCCTGATGTCACACCACTACCCATAATTCATAGCAGAAGCAGGTTCCATATTTCTGCTTGGCTGATGTTTACATTACGAGGACGAGGGCTGAAATGATTCCTCGAATAATTCCAGTAATTTGATTACAAAAAATCCTCGAGGCAAATTATCTGCTTCGTAGTAAATACATGTTATAATCAGCACACTTTCGTCCGCCCGGAATGTTATTTGTGTTACACCCAATGCTACTATGTTAGCACTTCCTCTAACAGTTATTGTCGACACGTCACACGTGTATGCTTGCTAAGTGCTATATTTAGCTTTAGAAGACGACAAAGAGTGCCGAAACAAAGCACCCAGAAAACAACAAATTATAAAAAGCATGGGAACATTTACAACTTAACAGAAAAGACGACAACGTGCAGTACGCTTCACATCCGCCATGTTTCTGCACCGGAACAAAAACACTGCTGCATGTACCGAACAGGTCCGGAGGTAACAACAGGTGTTTGTTTACGTTCCCTTTGGTTACCTAAATCTGTGATAATCTGTCAGATTACAGATGTACAAGGAGGAGGTTTATTTAAACTAACATTATTTGTGCTGACTAATCACTGTGACCTGGCAGGGTTTTATTAAACACTGTGTAAGTTGTGTGATTAAACACAACACTTACTGTAAGTTTGTCAGATAAAAATAAAAACACAACAACAGATCGACAGCTTGAGCTGAAACATGTTTATTTGTTGATTTGATTTTATCTTAGTTTAAATTAGATACTTGGAGTAAATATTTCAAGTTTTAAATTATTTATAGAAGATAGTTGTATTTTTTTTATTATTTGCTGCTGCCTTTTATGATTTTATCCTTCATTACTACAGTTATATTTGTTTATAGCTAAGCAGTCAAGACTAAATCTTTTATTGCCTAAACAGGAGCCCTGCACCAACCTAATAACTGTCTTAAAAATATGAATGAATTCTTTTGTTACAATTAACAAGTGAACTCTACAAAACTCAATGTGCAACACCCAAATGTTTATATTACCCATTTTACTTGTTAACTTTCTATTCCCCCCCAAAAAAGAAAAAAAACATTCAGTTTTTCAGTCCATAACAGTAAAGTTAAGCATTTAGATTTTTCAGTGATGTTAAAATGATTCAGTGACAGAGTGTTTTTAATTAATGCCTCCTCAAACCTTACATACATAAATACAAACAAATGGAGTTTAAAATGCGTTAATTAATACAACTGGTGTCATTTTACTTTGATTGCAGCAGGATCAGCAGGTGTAGATTACCCCTTCACATTATTAAATAATTGTAAAAACTCAAAGTAAAATAAAAATCTAACAGCGTGTTCAGACGCTCCTTACATCCAGAAACACAACAGAGTCATATTTCTGTGGATTCAGCTCAGATTCATGACTTTGTGAGTTAAAACTGTCGACTGAAAAACTTTGTGTGTCTGCTGCACATTCTCACTGCAGGTGAAAAGTGTGTATAAATATACACACACTTTCACGCAACGTTGGTTTTTATACATCCCAACGTGAGCGTAGAACCTGGTGCACACAACTTTTTATGTGTACGCACTGTTTATACATGAGGACCTGAAATCTAAATTTTAACTGGAAATGTTTCAACTAAAGGAGTAAAAAACAAACAGTTCTGTGATCTAAACCAAGTTTAAAGACGTTTGAGACATGTTGACCACTGTGGTTTCTGAATGAGTGAAATTTAATAAAAGTTGAATGAGCTGAAACTTGTTCTGCAGATGGAGCGGGTCCAGAACTCCACACTGTGGCTGAGCTACCAGCTCCTGAAGAACCAGATGGAGGTGAAGAACAAACACAAGAACAACGAGAAGCTGCTGTTTCACGGCACCGCTGCCACATCCACCGACCTGATCAACAGCAAGGGCTTCAACCGGAGCTACGCTGGACAGCACGGTACCTGCTGCACTTCCATCCTCAGGGAAAGGGTTCAACAGAGACCAGACTGATGTCATCAACTTCTCACTGATGTCCCACAGCTCAGTGCTGCAGTCTGACCTCAGAGGAGAACAGACTCTGCATCCAGCTGCTCATCTTTCTATGAATGTTTATCAAGCATCACTTAAGATCAGTTTTTATTCTACGTTTTTTCAGCATGTAACTCATTCCACAGTGTTTGTGTTGTTTACAACATTTCCTGAAGGAAAACGTTCAGCTCATCGATGCCACGGGTGCTGTGGCTTTTGTTTCAGAAGCTTATCCTTTTTCAGCTTTTTAAATGGGACCTATTGTGTAAAATTCACTTTTTAAAGGTCTTTTTTCCTCGACTTTGGATATGTACTTCTTAAAAAACAGTCCTAGGACCAGAAAAATGCACCCAGGGGCATATTTACTGTAAGTAAATGTATTTTTAATGTATATTAACGACAAGTTTTATACTTCCATCATTTTGTGATGTCACAAGCCGTACGACAACCCACCAGAACCTGCGTTCAGCCCCTTACCTAGCAACCCCCGGGTGAAGCTCCTCCTCCTCAGTATAAAAAGTCGTCACTGTGTTGTTGTGTAATGTGCAGCTCATTACACAACAAGCCTCCAACAGGGCAATGGGTAGAGTGTTGGACCAGAGAGTGGGAGACCAGGGTTTGAGACCAACATGGACACAATTTAATTATTTATTTATTTTCATTCGTTATGAACACATTTTCTCATGTAGCTCTATAGTTTATCTTATTAAAGCCTTGTTAACGCCTATTTGTTCTAGTTTCTGAGGTATTTTGACCACTGCTGCTCCCTGCTCTGGTAACAGCATGCAGAGTGAGGACAGAGCAGAGGAGGGAGAGAAAAAAAAGAAGCTGCGACCGACTCTGACTCTGGGTCTCACAGGGTCTCATATGATAGTTTTTCCTTCACTCTGCTCCCTTTTAATTCAGCGTAGGGTTTACTTTGGTTTTTAATGCTGTACACATTGTTTTGTTCTTATGAATGAAACAAATAAATAGACATCTCTTAATATATTTTGACAAGGCAAAATACCAATTTAAGATATCTCTAATTATATTCTGACTTGTATAAATAACATTAGATTTATCATTAGGTTGTATGGAGACTCCAGTTCAACATATCTTAAATGTATCTTTAGATATGAGATTCACTACATAAGATTTAATTAATGCAAATTTCAGAATTTTTCATGTTCTGTAAATTGTATTTAAAACGAAGCTGCTGCTGTTGATTCTTCTGTTTTTAGAAGCAGCCCTCCCAACACCAATACTGGAAACACTGGAAAGGTTTAAAAAAGTTTATTGAAGATGTTTTTGATGATATAATTGACTGACAACCATGTTAATATTTTGTAGTACAAAATAGAAGATGAGTCGTTTAAATTTATTTTTAAAAAAAAAACCCCCTAAGACCCCCCCGCAGACCAGTTTCCTAGAGGAAACACTTGATCTGTCTTTAAAACCCTTCAGTATATATTTAACTTTTAACCATTTGTTTTGTTTCTTTATACTTATTTCAGCTTTCTTCAGCTTCTTTTTTTCTAGTTTTTAGCTATTTATATTCTTCTGACAATTTCATCATTTTGAGCTACTTTGAATTTTTTATTCTTTTTCAAACCTTTTTGTGTTTTAAGTTACTTCTTAGTTGATTTCAGCTGATTTCAACTTTCTTCTACTTCACATTTTTCAATAATTTCAGCTTCTCACTGCTGAAAGCAGCAAACATGCTGTTTCTGCTTCGTGCAAATTTCAGCTTTTCAACTTCTTTTTAGCTGTTTTATGACAAATCACAACATTTTTGTACATCTTTTCTTTTTTTAGGCTAATGTGAGCTTTTTACTGTCCCACCGTCTGTTTGCTAAATCCAACTAGTTTCTGTTATTTTACCAACATTTCTGCTCTGTTCAGTTTTTCAGCACATTTGTTTCTATTTTTCTACTGATTTTTCACTTGTTTTTCTACTTTCAGCAAATGTCAGCTGTTGGAGTTGAACTCTGACAGTTTTGGTGTTAAACACAAGGTTCCCACGGGTCCTTGAAATCTTTGAAAGTTTGTGAATTTGAAAAAATTATTTCAAGGCCCTAGAAAGTTTGTGAAAACAGTCTAAAATTACACTTGTCCTTGAAAGTCCTTGAACGTTTTTTGGGGATTGAAGTTCTCTACTCACACGACTGATTAAAAAAATAAATTATGAAATAAAAAACAACAAAGTTAGATTTGTTGCGGTGGATAACTCAGGGTTACAGTAAACTGACGTCATTGTTTCTGACTGAACAACTTCTATGTTCAGTTTTTCATTGAATTTACATGATATCAAACCTGTTTATTGGTAACATTATGAGGCAGCAGTAGGTAATTGCTGTTGCGTGTGGTTCTTTAATTTGAGGAAATTGGTACTGGAAAGTCCTTGAAAGGTCCTTGAATCTGACGTTGACCAAGGTGTGGGAACCCTGTAAACATTTCTTCAGCAGGACTCTCTCATCATGATCCATCATGAGAGCTTCACCTCCTGTCCTGACTGAGAAACCTGACTTTAGACCTTGTCCTGAAGCTGTTCTCTTATTTCCTGTGACCTGACTGTAAAAACCCATAAACTCTGCTGACAGATCAGACCTTTGTCCCTGATAATAAAACCTGTTTTCCTCTGCTGATCAGAACACAGCTGAGGATTATATCCCACCAGGAAACTGAACCATTTGAACACTAACTCCACATTTCAACCCTTTTAATGTTGATCTGTGATTTATTGGTTCAGTGTCGGAGCTGAAATCAACACATTAAGCCGGGTACACACCAGACGTGTTTTGAGCAGCCAAAGCAGCCAGTTTACATGTAAAGTCTACGGTGGACACACATTTAGGAGCAGCACGGCGCGCAACGTGTGAAGTAGGTGCGGTGCATCCGGAGCAGCCGCTGCTCGAGTTAAAAAAAATTGAACTTTTGCAGCTTGACGCGCCGCAGCAACCAATCAGAGAGACTCATTTTTCCACGTGACAGTTTCCTGAATGTTGCCCACAAACAGACGGACAGGAGCTCTTTAGCTGAAATGGACCGTCTGCAGTTGGTGTTCTGGCTGGAGATATCATGGCTCAGTGGTTTGTTAAACTGGGCTCAGGACAAAAAATAGTTTGTCAGCTCGCAGCTCCTGGAGTGATGAATATCACTGAACAAACTGCCTCTAAATCAGGGCTTCTTAACCTTTTTGACCTCAGGACCCAGTTTATTGAACATAAAGTGACACGAGGTCCAGTCAGACATTACCAATGTATGGATCAAAATGATAATTATTCTATATCTTGGTTTAATTTTTATTGTATTTACATCATAACTAAATTAAATACACTTACATTTTAAAAGTAAAACTCCTGTCAAACAATCACAAGACATGATTATAACAAACATTTTTATATTGTAACCTGCCCATAACAATTATTTGAACAAATACAAAGGTCAGTCAACAGACCACTCAGGCTTATCAACACAAAAATATATATATTTTAATATAAATAACAAAAAAAAATTTTCAATAAATAAAACTGTGGGCACAAGATAATTAAATTAAAAATGTTTAAATGTTTCAAATACAAAAAAACTGTAAAACTAAATTTGATAAAGTACTGTTGCATGGTAGAACCAGAAGCTGCTCTTCATATTAGTGAAAAACAAGAGTAACAGCTTTTTGACAAGTTTAAAGTTTCTTTAAAATACATTAAAAATATTTAAAAATAAACAAAAATAATTTGATAAAGTGCAAATTAAAATATAGTTGTATCTGCAACTGTATTTGATAATGTTTTGAACTTTTAAAATATTGCATGGTAAAAACAGAAGCTGCTCTTCATATTAGTGACAAACTTTGGTGTTTTTTGATGAGTTACTTTCATTTTTGCTTCTACTTTTCATTTAAAATAAGTTTCCATTCTCAGCAGGTTTCTAAGGTTCTTCTTCTACATATTAAAAAAGTTGTTAAACATCTGAGTGGTGCACTACTGCTACTAGTGGTGAGAAAGTGTATTGCACCTTATTTAAAATCAATGTGGTCCCACGGCCCTCTGTGGCCCAAAGTTAAAAACTGTTATTCTTTTTGAGGCCCTCAAGGTGGCGCTGGCCGCTGCCCATAGGTTAAGAATCTCTGCTTTAAATCATACGGTGAATTAATTATCTGCTGTGCAAAGCAAAGCCGTTTTCTTTATTTTGTCTTTATTTCACCTGTCTTTAAAGACAGACTGGAAAAAAACCAAGACGCTCCTCCCTCTTCAGACACATCTACTCTGCTGCTGCGTTCACACCAAACTCGTTTTAGTGCGTCCAGCTTGAGGTGTTGGGAGCATTTTTGCTGCTCAAAACCACCCACTTCGGATGTTATCATCCATGAAATGGACGTTATTCGGTGTTATCAGTCCCATAGAATGGCTTCCGATTGTCAGCTGGTTAGTATGAGGCAGATAAAGCCACTATCTGGTTAATATGAGGCATAAAAAATCTGGTTAATATGAGTCTTAAAGCCACCAAGGTTAACCGTAGAGCAAATGACATGGTTAGCACTAACCTCCGACAAATGTGCAATTGTGGCCTTCCAATAGAGCAATGGGTAGAGTGTCAGACCAAAGACTGGGAGACCAGGGTTTGAGTCTGACACGGACACCAAAAATTTATTACAATATGTTTTGGTTATTTACACATTCATTGTCATTGATATATTAACCCACTAGGGGGCACTGTTGGGACAGTCTAAAGGCTAGAAGGCACAGTAGGGACCCTCTGAAGCCATTGTATGGGACTGATAACACATGATAACGTCCATTTCATGGATTGATAACATCAGAATCCCCTGTTCAAAACGCGTTTGGTGGGAACCAGCTTAAATGTTTTTTTGAGCTTGTGGATGTTATAGCTGCAGCAGACCACTAGATGTCACTGCTTGGCTCTGTCTGAGGCTTTTAAGCTTTATTTTAAGCCAGTCTCATCCTGTGATGATGTCAGTGTTTATAAATCAGGGAATGTCAGTGTTATGTGTTCACTTCCAACATGTTCAGTGAAAACAGCACAGGGGGTCCAGAACAGATGTTTTATCTTTATTTACACTGAATCCAGCTGTAACCCTGTGACCTCACAGCAGAACTCACTTTGTGTTTCATCTCTTTATTGTTTCTGCAGGTGCGATGTACGGTAAAGGCTCCTACTTTGCTGTAAATCCCGCTTATTCAGCAGGAAACTATGCCCAACCTGACATCAACGGACACAAGCACATGTACCAGGTCCGGGTTCTGGTTGGAGACTACACCCAGGGAAGAGGTGGGATGATTGCCCCTCCTGCAAAATCTGCAAACGCTGCAGATCTGTATGACAGTGTGACGGATCAACCCAACAATCCAACCATGTTTGTTATCTTTAATGACATCCAGGCGTATCCAGAATACCTGATCACTTTCAAATGACTCTAACAAGCACCTCATTAACTCCTGCCTTACTTTACTTTAGATTAAACTAACTAAAATACTGAAATATTAAGATGTAATAATTTGCTGAATGTTGTAACAGGTGGAATTTAATAAATAATAAAATATGTGTTTAAATATTTTGTGCTTCATTGTCTCCTGCTGTATTTTCCTCTGAGTCACATAAAAGAACAAACATCCCACTAAGGTGTGTTTTTGTCAAGTCAAGTCAATTAAATTTTTTTTTTGCCGAGGGCCAGTTTGTTGTGCAGACAGCAGTGAAATAAGAAGAGAAAACAAAAAAGAAAAAAACACGTACAATGCACAAAAAAACTACATACATACTGTAATAATAAAGTAATATTAAAGTTATTAAATGCAGCCATGCATTGATACACATTCTCTAAACGGAATTCATCAGCTTATATTCCACAATTGAATGAAGAATTTAAAAACCAGCCAGAGATAAAGATTTGTCGTATTTAAAAATTAAAAACTTTATCAGGTTTATTTGTATAGCACATTTCAGCAACAAGGCAGTTCAAAATGTTTTACATCATAAAATCCCCAAAAATACAAAGTCAGAACACAGTTTACCATTGAATCATTACAGTTTGTCAGGTGTCATTGTTACACTTTAAATGTTGATTAATGTTTCATTTATAATGTTTCATAAACAACTCTAAACAGGTGGGTTTTCACTCTTGATTTAAAGGATCAGAGTTTCGGCTGCTTTACAGTTTTCTCGGAATTTGTTCCAGATTTGCAATGCATAGAAGCTGAGTGCTGCTTCTCGGTATGATTCACCATCAGATACAAGGCAGTTAAAGACATCCCTATTGCAGACACTGTCTAGAAAACCTTTACCTGACTGTGATAACTCTCAGTGAAGGAATGGATGTGCATGTACATGCAGTCTTCAGCAGTTTGCCAGTTACTGACAGGAAATAGCAGGAGATTAAGATGGAAACTGAAAACGATCTGCAACTTCAACTATTGGTGCAGACACTCAAAGAGTGTTGGCCAGAGGAGAGGAGGAGATGTCCTTCAGACATCATGGACTTCTGGAATAATCGTGACGAACTGACAGTGATGCAGCATGACATCATCTTCAAAGGTGAGAAAATAATCATTCCACTCTCACTGTGTCCTGAAATGTCTCGCATTCACAGTGCACAGAAAAATGCAAACAAAGAGCTCGTGACATGCTGTTTTGGCCTGGCTTGAGTAAACAGGTAGAGGAGCTGATAAGCAAATGTTCCATTTGCCTTGAACATAGACCCTCTCAAACCAAAGAACCGATGATCAGCCATCAGATCCCAGATAGACCTTGGCAGATCATTGACACTGACCTGTTTGTCTGGAACAATAATAACTATCTTATCATTGTGGACTATTACAGCAGGTATTTTGAGGTTGAGAAGTTAAACAGCACCACGTCTGCTACAGTGATTGATAAGTTAAAGGTTGGTTTTGCTAGACATGGCATACCAGCTACTCTGATATCTGACAATGGACTACAATACAGGTGTAAGGAGTTTGAAGTTTTTTCTAACACTTGGGACTTTTGTCACATCACTACAAGCCTTTACCATCCTCAAAGTAATGGACTTGCTGAAAAAACGGCGCAGATTGCCAATTCATTATTGGAAAAGGCCAAAGCTAAAAGTAACGATGTGTATCTGAGTCTTTTAGAGTACTGGAATACACCTGTCGACAACTTCAGGTCTCCAGCGCAGCTACTGATGAGTCGCCATCTGCGATCCATCTTACCAAGCACTCCTCAGCAGCTCCAGCCGAGAGTCGTTCATCCAGAGGATGTAAAAGGAAAGAGGATTTGTCAGCAGCAGCAGCAGGAACGATACTATGACAGGTCAGTGAAACCAACGACTTAGCTACAGGAAGGACAGCACATCAGGTTTCAGGAGCATGGACTTTGGAAACCTGCTGTTGTGATCCAGCCAGCAGACGCCCCCAGATCTTATCACATTTGCACTCCTGATGGACAGGAGTACAGGAGAAATAGGCGCCATTTGTTGGATACAAAAGAGAACCACTAGTTTCCTGCTATCTGTCGCCACCAGAAGTTGATGAGCAGCACACACCAGGCAGTGAAGCACCTCAGATCACACAGGAGCTCAGTAAACCTGTTCCAGCTGGTGTTCCTTATCAGACACGTTCTGGACGAGAGGTTAAACCTAGAAAAGTTCTGGACTTGTGAAGTGTGTAAAAGGTGTAGGCAGATAGCTGCCAGAAGAAGGAAAAGAAAAAAAAAGAATAAATTTTGTATTGTACTACAAGTATTGTTTCGTAGTTTATATTGTATGGTTTATTTTGAAGATGTACTTTGTATCTGTTAAGAATATTAAAACTTTGTTATTAATTGTAATTTTAAAAGGATGGGGATGTTGTATGTAGGGTGTTACTTAGTAACCCCTTTGCCACATCCTAACAAGGAGCATTCCTATTGGTTGTTGTTGGTATAAATACCAGATGTATATTGTACTTCCTGTATGACACTTTTGATTTTAGCTTTGCTACATAGTCAAGCTAATGATAAAATAAATGCCAATCTACTGCATCAGCGATCTCCAACTTCTTTGATTGCCTCCTATAGGCGTAACTTTAGGTCTAACATTGGGCAAGTTATGCTCTCTGTCCATTTATTTATTGAATAGATTACTTTTGTAAAATGATTCAGGATATTTTAGGGTTAAATATATTGTAATGCTTTTACTGTGATTTACTTAACTTTCCTGTTTTCTCTGTATTTATTCTGCTCCTTTTCTGTTCCACCAGTTCAACAAGTAAGAAAAAATCTTACTATTTTTCTGCATTTTTTTCTAGCAGTAACACACATCTTACATTTTTAAGATTTACTATATAACATACCTTAATTTCACAAATTTCAAAGAGTGTGTATTTACATGGTTCACTACAGTTTAACTAGGAAAAATTACAACAGATGATTCAACAAATACAGCCATAMTATGACAAGAGCAGACTAAAACCCTGCATGTCATCTTCAGCAATTAWRCTTAAATGTTCATTGTGTAAACTGAAATCATATTAAAGTTACCTAAAACAACAAGAGAGTTACAGCTGTGTATTTAACCAGTTCATTTCAGCTGTGTTAAAGCACTTGCAAGACTACGGCAGTTTCAAATTATTATGGTTTTACTAATGGTAATCACTAACAAAAATGACTTGGATAAAACAGCTGACACGTAAAATGCAGCAGCAGCAGTCTTTGCATTTTCAGCACCACAAATGTGTGAACAGCAGCAATGGGAGATTGAGTAGTTCAGTTCTTTTCAATGAGGAAATTATTTCATATTATAAATAATTGTAGCTAAGAGTTCCCTCCCCAAACAAACTAAATCATAAAGTAGAGGCACCACTTGGACTGTTTTTAGGATCTTGAAACATTCAGGGGTTTAGTCCAAGCTTAAATAGCTGAATTTTCCATAGACAGCTCCCCAGTTTACAAGTAACTTGAAATCATTCTAATATAAGACTTGTACTATAGTTCTCTATCTTGTCTGGGTTTTGATTGAATGTAAATTGTTGTGAATCAAATAATTTTTTTCCCAATAATTAAATGTGACTTAATTTTTTTAGTAGTTTAAGTGAAGGATAATGAATAACAGCTTACAATTGGAATTAAAAAAATCTGAATTTTAGCTCACCAAATCTGACAAAAATGTTCTTAAACTCAAACAAACTTTGTTCATGATGTGTCCAAAATATGAGACTATATTCTCATTTCTAAATAATTACTTTAAAATTCACACTGAACAGTATGTGTTCACAGCTCCATGGTTGTAATTTAATTTTTTTAAAAAGGTAAATAATGCAAATTGATTTTCTTAAATTTTATTCTAAAGATAAGGTCCTAAAAATCATGTTATTTTTATTAATTATGTTGAGTGTTGCATTTGATTGATTCTCTATGTTCAGTTTTACTGCTCTGTTTGCAGCCCATTCTACTTTTAAAGAAATAATTTTCATTTGGCCTTCAAAATATTACAATCATTTTATAACAGTGTTGTTCTCCACTGTGCATGTGAATATCTGGGACTCTCAGCTTCAGTCCTGTTTTCAGTACTAATATTACAGTTATTAATAACTAAATATATAAAAGTTTGTAAAGTAACTTGAGTAAACCTATATTCTTGTTTAATGAGTTTAGTTTATATAATGTTACACATTATTATGTAAATTTTCAGACAAATAGAACAGTTCAATAAATAATGGTACACCCTGTGATTAATTGCTATGATTTATTGATTGTTAATTTTGCACCTTTAAAAAACCCACAGGTTTATGTTTGGGATCGGCACAGATTATATAAAAAAGAAGAAGCTTTTTTATTTACTACGTCTGGCACCAGTAGATATTTTCCAGATTAACTGAGCAAAACCTTTTTCTGTCTACATGTAGAACTGGACTCATGGCAGCTGCAGTGAGAGGAATGTGGTGATCTGAATGAACTTTTAATGCATTTAATTTTTTTTAAGATTAAATGCTTTGATTTTTGACTGAACTAAAGAACCAACCATTTTTAATTATGATGTAAATCCATCTAGAGAGGATTCTTGTTGTCCATCACAGCCAGGGGTTTCAACTGTAACTCAGGTAAAGGTCCCTGTCCATCTGCTCTTCGTGCCTTGCTCAGTTTTAGCGCTAACTTCAGGCAGAGTTTTGCCGCTTAGCTTCCACCATCAATGCGCACACGAGCATCAGGTTCCTGTTGACTCTGCAGCTACTTTTATGAACCCGTGACAAATTGAAAATCAGCCTTTGCCTGTGCTTCTTTTGCACGGCTGCAGTGCCACGTGTGCACAAATATCTATGTTTATCTTATTTTTCTTTTGACTCGGTCAGTTTAGGTGAAGAGTAGTAGTAACGGAACTAGCCAAAACACCGACACCACTGTGTCTGCTACATAGCAGAATAGAGTAAACAAATCATCAATTTACCTTATTTTGATGTTTTCTCTTTTTACAACAGGGTGTAGTTGACCAACAATAAAAAACTGTTGGTTGTCCACTTTTGGGCACTCTTCTCATTTACTTTGAACTACATCCACACTCACATCAGCAACTGCTTCCTCAACAATCGGTGCACTTACAGCAGCGGCCGGGCCACTTGTACAGAAAGCAGGTGGGTGATACCAAGTTTTTTGCAAGGGAGGGGGTCGGGGGTTGCATTGAAACATGCAGCAATTTTACAAAAAAATGTAAATGAATAAAGAAAATCACTTATTGATGTCATATATGTATACTTAAATGATGCAATTTTATTGGGGGGTTATATTGACTGGATCAAATTATTGGTGGGGGGGGGGTTATAACCCCCCTAACCCCCATGTAAATTACGCGGGTACAACACAGGAAACATTACAAGTCCCAAGCTTCAGCTTTGTGCTTATGTATTTATATTTGTATACATTTTTTATATTTTTTGTATTTATATTTAGTTTTTGAAAAGCTAAGAGTTACAAATGTAATAGAAAACAAACTTAAAATACATACTTCCTCTGAATAAAGACATCTACAGTATATGTGTGTGTATGTGTGCGTGTTCTCGTTTTTCTTATACGTGGGGACTTTGACCTGACTCTGTGCATACACAATGGGGACCTGTTTTCCCATGGGGACCTCAAATTAGGTCCCCACGGGCACAGCCCCATTTTGCAGCATTAAAATAGTGTAGTCATGCCCCATGCAGTTTTCCAAGAAGTCCCCATGAACTTCATTTCAAGAAAAAATGTGTGTAAGTGTGTAACCATGCGCTCCTAGTGGTCACACAGAGTATAGCAGTCCCCATTAAGGCTTGCTGTTCTTGAAATGTGCGTCACTGCCTGCTCATTCTCTAGTGACGTGTAATGGTCAGAAAAGGTATTGCAATTGAATGGTTAATTCAATCTTTAACTTTTAAAATCTAAAATTTTAAGTATATTTATTGCAGTCTAGGATTAATAGAGKATTTAATCAGTGTGAATGCCTTACAAATAACCAGTTATTACTGACAGTTCCTCGAACTCGACTTAAGAGGAAAGGAGATCGAGCTTTTTCTGTTGCTGCTCCTGTTTTATGGAATAATTTACCTTTCCAGATTAGATCTGCCCACAGCCTGTATCATTTTAAATCGCTTCTTAAAACTCATTTTTATTCTTTGGCATTTAATTGATGTATTGTCATTTGTGTTGTTCTTGTAC